AGAGAGAGACAGCGAGAGACCAGGTTAGCGAGGGGAGTCCTGAAGAGGGAAAAGAGTGTCTGGTTGATTGGGAAGAGGAAAAGTAAGAGGACAAAGTTATGAGGGAAGTTTTGTGACGTCGGCGAGGCTAGTCGATCTGAGGCAGCAGGAGGAAGAGGCACGAGAGCAGCATCAGCAGCGGGCAGCAGCAGCGGGATGGATCTGCTCGTTCAGCAGTGACAGAAGAGAGGGACATAGAGAGAGAGAGGAAGCGAGTGAGTGAGAGAAAGAGAGAGGGAGTGGGAGTGGGAGTGAGATTGAGATTGAATGGGTGGAAGTGCTCGCTCGAGGAAGACAGACAGAGAGGCAGACAGAGAAAGAGAGTGAATTAAAAAAAAAAAGAGAGAGAGAAAACCAGATATACAGACCGAGAACGAGAGAGAGAGCGAGAGAGAAAGAGAGAGAGAGAGAGAGAGAGAGAGAGAGAGAAAAACAGAGAGGAGAGAGACTGAGAGCGAGAGAGAGAGGGAAAGAGATCGAGAGAGAGAGAGAGAGAGAGAGAGACTGAGAGCGAGACGAGAGAGAGAGAGAGAGAGAGAGATAGAAAGAGAGCGAGAGAAAGAGAGACTGAGAGAGAGACTGAGAGCGAGAGAGAGAGAGAGAGTTAGCAAGAGCGAGAGCGAGAACGAGCGTGGCATCACAGCTCGGCCTGGAGTGTGTCCGGGCAGACAGACGGCCATTCTATTACTGCATGTCGGGAAGCCTAAGGTAGTTTAGTCGGCCGTGCAGCAGGGCCATTGTGGAATGGATCCATCCGAGAGCAGGGGGGGCGGAAGGAGGGGGAGGGGGAGGGCGGGAGGGGGGGGGGAGTGGGTCTGCCGGGCGCACCAAAGGATTGCCCTTCCTGGGATTCACTCCTGCGTTTCCCTCCTGCGTTTCCCTCCTGCGTTTCCCTCCTGCGTTTCCCTCCTGAGGTTCTCCCCTTCTGTGATTCCGTTCTGAGATTCCATCCCTTCGTGTGGTTCCCTCCTGTGATTCATTCCCTCCTTTCATTCCGTCCGATGATTCCTTCCTACGATTCGCTGATGCACGTCCTTCCTACAACTCCTTGGATCCTACCATTCCTTTGTTCCATTCCTTCCAACAACTACCCACGATCCCCTCCTACTATTTCCTCCCTTCCATTCTCTCCCTCCCATTCCCTCCCTCCCATTCCCTCCCTACCACTCCCTCCCTCCCATTCCCTCCCTACCACTCCCTCGCTACCACTCCCTCCCTACCACTCCATCCCTTCCATTCCCTCCCTACCATTCCCTCCCTACCACTCCCTCCCATTCCCTCCCTACCACTCCCTCCCTACCACTCCCTCCCTACCACTCCCTCCCTACCATTCCCTCCCACTCCCTCCCTCCCATTCCCTCCCTACCACTCCCTCCCATTCCCTCCCTACCACTCCCTCCCTACCATTCCCTCCCACTCCCTCCCTCCCATTCCCTCCCTCCCATTCCCTCCCGTTCAGTAACATCCGAGCTGACCTTCGCCTAATCTCGTTGCTATTAGTGGTCATGTTAATATTTCTCAAACTGAATACAGACTTGTTCGTGTGGTGTTAATGGTGGTGACTTCGGGCTCATGGGGATAGTCTAGGTAGGAGAGGGACAAGTTCATCATGTGGTGTTCATGTTGGTGTTGTTCCAGGTTCAAGACGTACTTTGAGGGAAAGGCTATGGAGACGGGTAGGAGAATAATGTATTTTTTTTTTTTTTTTTTTTTTTTTTGGGGGGGGGGGGTGGGAGGGGGATTGTGGTTATGGCAAGAGTTTTTAAAAAATCATGGTGGAGATGGAAATAAGATAGAAATAGAACGATGAGGTTAGAAACGTAACGAGTGAGAATAATCATTAAAAGTTCTAAGAAGACAGGGAAGGGCGTGTCATAGGAAGGGGATGGAAGGTAAAAAATAGATTAAGGGAAGTTGACAGGATGGGAAAATGACAGGTAGAAAATACATTAACCCATTCGCCCCCTGTCCCCTGTAGTTTTATTGTGTGTGTGTGTGTGTGTGTGAATGTTATATGCAGATGGCTCCACATGCGTTCAGCCGGCAAGGAGTCTATCAGTAGCCCTAGTGACCGATCCCGATTTCCCCATTCCTTGAATTGGCGGGAAAATGTGTTTTCCTTATTAATACAGTCGAAATCGATACTGTTATTATTGTTAATGTTGATATGATTATTAAATTGTTATTAAAATCGATAAGATTTAAGACAATGCAATAATACAAAAGTTTTCCAAAATTCGAGGAAAAGGGTAAACAGGTGAGATACGTAGGGTTAATAACTGACTCCTTGGTGACTAAGCACTTGTAGAGCCATCTATATGTAATTGCAATAAATAAACCTGTATCACATGACATGACATGTATTCTTGCCATACGGGGCGATTGGGTTAAGGGAAGGTAAAGAAAGGGGGAAAAAGAAACACAATAGGTAGGCATAGACGTAGATGAAAGACTATAACATGAGGTAGACAGAAAAGATATTGAATGGGGAGGAAAAACCGATTAGAAAAATAAATAAATAAACTTAACTGGACTGGAAAGCTGCAGGAGGGAGATAAAAATAGATGCGATAGATAAACAAGAGATAAACATAAAGATTAGGAATAAACAGATAGAACATGAGGCAGACAGGAGAAAAGATATCGAAGGGGGTGGAGGTAAAAGATAAACAAAGGAAAAGTGAAGAATGGGGGAAAAAACATGACAAATGGCTTGAAATAGACAGCGAGAACACGAGAGCAGACAGGCAGGAGAGAGAAAGACTTGACATGACAGTCAAGATTGGAAGTCGACAGCACAAGAGCAAACTGACTTGACATGACAGGAGAGAAAAAGACTTGACATGACAGGGGAGAAAAAGACTTGACATGACAGGAGAGAGAAAGACTTGACATGACAGGAGAAAGAAAGACTTGACAAGACAGGCGAGAGAGAGTCTTGACATGAGAGAGAGAGAAAGACCTGACAGGCGACAGAAAGTTTTGACAGGCGAGAGAAACTCTTGACATGAGAGAGAGAGAAAGACTTGACAGGCGACATGAAGTCTTGACAGGCGAGAGAAACTCTTGACACGCAAGAGAGAGAAAAATACTTGCCAGGCGAGAGAAACTCTTGACACGCGAGAGAGAGAAAAAGACTTGCCAGGCGAGAGAAACTCTTGACACGCGAGAGAGAAAGGAAAGACTAGACATGACACGCCAGGCTAGGCATAGACCGCGAGGCCCCGAGAGCAGGCAGGAGAGAGAGAACGAATTAGGAGAGGAATGAAGAAGCGGCGGGATCTTCGGGGCGGCACAGTGCCTCCTTGTCCCGGGGTCCCAGCGCGGCGGCCTCTCACTTATGCAAATGCCCGAGTTTTCTCACAGTTTCCAGCGCGCCGTGTTTTGCCTGCGACCGGGGTTTTTTTTTCGTTTTTTTTTCGTTTTTTTTCTCTCGTTTTTTTTCGCTTTATTTTCCTTTCGATTTTTTTTTTGCTTTATTTTCCTTTCGTTTTTTTTTCTCTCTCCTTGTTTTCCTTCCGATTTTTTCGTGTTTTTTTTTCTCTTCTTTTCCGTTTTTTTATTATTTTGTTGTTTTTTTCTGAATCTCCACCTTTTGATACTTTTTGTCTGTCTTTCTTTCGTGTGTTTGTTGTCGATTTTTTCCTCTTCTTCTTTTCCTTTTTTCTATATTTCTTTTCTTTTTCTTGTTTTTTGTCGTTGCTATTATTATTTTTCTCTTCTTGCTTCTTCTGTTGTTTTTCTTCTTCTCTTCCTTCTTTCCATATTTTTCTTCTTCTCTCTTTTGTTTTTTTCGCTTCCTTTCGATATTTTTCTTCTCTCTTTCGTGTTTTTTGTTGTTTTTCCTCTTCCTTCTTTCCATATTTTTCTTCTTCTCTCTTTCTTGTTTTTTGTTGTTTTTCCTTTTCCTTTTTTCCATTTCTTTATTTTTCTCTCTCTCGTGTTTTTTTGTTTTTTCGATTCCTTTCGTGTTTTTCTTTTCATCGTTTCCAAAAGCTTTCCTCTATGTATTTTATGCAACTGCAAAGCGAGGGGTAATTTCCTGATAATAATTCAGTCAATTGCACGCGTTCCATTTTTTATGTAAATAAAAATGTTCATTCACATCTCCGAAAAGTGTTCATTCTGTTCACAGGTGTTCTTCTAGATTTTTTCTGTCTTCCTGTTGTTCATTCATTGGTGTTTCTCTCTCGCTGTCTCGCTCCCCCCCCCCCTCTCTCTCTCTCTCTCTCTCTCTCTCTCTCTCTCTCTCTCTCTCTCTCTCTCTCTCTCTCTCTCTCTTTCTCTCTCTGTCTCTCTCTTTCTCTCTCTCTCTTTCATTCTCTCTCTCTCTCTCTCTCTCTCTCTCTCTCTCTCTCTCTCTCTCTCTCTCTCTCTCTCTCTCTCTCTCTCTCTTTCTCTCTCTCTCTCTCTCTCTCTCTCTCTCTCTCTCTCTCTCTCTCTCTCTCTCTCTCTCTCTCAGTAAGATTTCTAAGCGTGTCTCTTCCCAACTGGAAATGTTCAGCCGCGTCATCGCGATGTTCACGCTCAAAAGTGTTCACCCAACCATCTACCTTTTCTCTTCCTTAATCACCACCGTCCAATCTCCCCCACAGGTGTTCAGACGTTCAGGTGTTCAGATGTTCAGGTGTTCAACGCAATGTTCACGCTAACAAGTGTTCTCCCATTAACCACCCACGTCCGATCTCTCCCCCACAGGTGTTCACCGCGGTGTTCACGCTTGAGTGCATCATGAAGATCATGGCGCTGAGCAAGGAGTTCTTCGTGAACAGGTGGAACGTGTTCGACTTGGTGATCGTGCTGGCCTCGCTGCTCGACCTCGGCCTCGAGATCGGCTCCGGCCTCTCCGTCCTCAGGGGCATGAGACTGGTGAGTGGGACGGCGAGGGAGAGGGCAGGGGGCGAGAGAGGGCAGGGGGGGAAGGTGTGAGACTGGTGAGTGAGACGGCGAGGCGGGGCGGGG